GAGAGTCAGGCTCCTTCTTAGTGTGGCCCTTATGGCACTCCCATTCAGCTGGGATCCGAGTCAGTTGTGGCGGCACACATGGGGGCGGCATTGGCCGCGCCAGCCTCCTGCCACGTTTCCCACCTGCGGTCTTCGTGACTCTCTCTCTGGGCTCTATCTCGATATCTGATCGAATTATATAACGGCATTGGCACTGTGGGAATTTCAGCAGGCAGAGTTGTTGCATGTGGACCAATGTTGTGAAGATTCACAGAAATGCCAAGAGCATTCAGCCCGAAGACAGCGACTGATTTGGGGACAGCGAAACTGCGAAAAAGAACAGTGACGGCATCTGAGCAAGGCAGGTGGGTAGGAATGGGGTTCAGATGCGGTAAAAAAAGGGTTTAGAAAATACATAGGCGGTGTTGGAGTCTGGCTGAAAAGCAGTGAGCGTGCGACGGACAGAAAGCGGTTTGTTAGGGATGGAAGAGTGAAACGCAATCATCGGAAAGAGACGGCAGATGTGTACGTTGACGGGGGACGGTGCCGGGTTACAGAACCGTCAAGAACATTCACCTCTAAGTCAGCAATTTATGCTGTAAAAACTTACCGTGATAAACTGCGAAATAGATCTGCGACGATATCCGTAAACAGGCAGGTGTAAGCAGGCGTGGGCTGCAGAGACAAACTATGTTTAGATAGGACGCAAATGCGTCATGCAAGCATCAAACAAGGTGCAGATTTTAAAATTTAGAAGACGCGTAGCTCTTCTTGAGGACGCCTTTGAATAGGAGGAAAACCTCGCCGCTTTATGGAGGATATGACGCTTATAAAGATCTTAGAGATGGATATTCACAACAGGTTATGACAAGTATGACTTATATGGCTGCCTTATTAGGACATGGGAAGAAGAACCTCACGCCCCCCAACCCACACCTAGAATAAGCGGCCTTGCTATAAATTTCAGGAAGGGAAAATATTCCCGTGTCTTAACGCTAACACTGACCCTAAAATAAAACTAAATTATCACCCTAACATGTATATGGGAACGATATACAAGTTAAAAAAGCGGTCAATAATGTTCGTATTTTCTTACAAACGAGTCATGTGGATCGGGGGGAGGGGTCGATAAGCGAAGGATGGTTATACCACACGCAATGTAGAAAATAAGAAGATATCTCTCAAAGATCCCCGTCAAGGGGATGCGGTAATTGAGCTCCTAAAAAGACGCCTTGGCCAAGGCGTGTCACGAATCCTCCCAGCAGCGAGAGTTCGGGTATTATTCTCAGCCAATCCGGTCCTGCACGGAGAAGGTAAGGATAGGTTGCCA